AAAGAAAGAAAGAAAGAAAGAAAGTCACAGTTATTTAGGATGCCTCCAGGCTACCATTGGGAGAACCCATTAGAAAGCTTTTCCTGGCAGTTCAGGAGGCTGGGAGATACCATGCCTGGCTCACATCCCTCTGCACCCTACTGAAAGTGCTCTATTTATCTGGGGCAGGTATTACGGCTTGTGTCCAGATGTCTTCCCCAGAGCCTCATGTGCTGTTGGAGCTGCTGGATCTAGCGCAGGTGATGCTGGGATAGGGTGTATGGTAGTGAATTAGTCCACTGATGGGAATTAGCATAGTTCTGAGTGTGACTGAATAGATTTACTGGAGACAGAAGCCCCATCCTGGGTGTGGGTGGCACCATCCAAAAGGCTTGTACATGGAAAAAAAGAGAAAGGCAGGCTGCTTGCTGCTTTCTGCTGGCCACGCTACGGACCGTTTCTCCTCTGTGATGCCCCTCTGCCATGCTGCCCCCTTAGAGCCAGCTGCCTATGGTCTGAAACCTCTACAAACTATGAGCCAAAATAAACTTTTCCTCCCTTAATTTTGGGTGTCAGGTATTTTGTCCCAGCAGTGAGAAAAGTAACTAAGACAGGAAGGAGGATGGATATAGGGACAGTCTGGCTTGGCTCAATTAAGCACTCAGACACGTGCATAGGTCTATGCTGAGCTTTAGTCAGGATGGAAGAGGTGAAGAAGAAACAAAGAAACTCTCACATCTCAGTGGCTAATTGAATAAAAGGTAAAGTATTGCGGAGTCTGTTGTGGGTCTGTGACGCCTTCCAGACAACAGTCTCTGCAGGGTGGTTCCGTCTTGGGGTTGCTTCGTGTAGTTCTGCACACCAAGGACATATGTGCTCCACCATCACACTGGCAGGGAGGATGAGCCAGGCTATGGCTCCTAAACGTTTTCTCCTACTTGGGTTTCCCCCACCACAGCAGGTAACACGCCTTGCCTAACCAAGTTGTACAGGACAGCATGACCTCCTTGTGAACCTGGGAGGTAGAGAGAGCCAGAAAATGGGCAAGAACAGTGCATCTGTGATACCACAGGGGGCTTTCACGTTGGCCCAGTCACAACAGAGCCTTCTTGGGTGAGTCCAGTTTGGCTCACGGTAGCGGTTTCAGTTCATAGCTGGCTGCCTCCAAGGCAGGGCGGTGTGGCAGAGGGGCATGGCAGAGAAGAAGCAGCTCATGGTGTGGCAGGCAAGATGCAGATGGCTCCAGCCCCAGGCTCCCATCCCAGCCTGCCACATGCGTGCTAGCTGCTCGGGGCTTCCCAGTGTGGATGAGAGATCGTTCCAGCCAAGCATGCTTTTTGGTTTTCACTCTGAATGAGTTTTGTGAACTTGGAACTCATTCCAACAGCAGGAACTAAAAGGACCACAGATAAATTATGTTGTTTACCCATCAAGATAGACCACCCACTTCTTAATTACTTGGGTGCTTTGGTGACTTCTTAAATAACTTAGTCAGAAAACGTTACACAAAATACCCTCTACGTGAAAAGTCCTGACAGTGGAGGCCAACATAAACACGAACTTTTTTTGTATTTTCTGCAACAGCTGTTGTTTATCAGTATGGACCCCATCGTTTTTCTAAATGAGAATCATTCTTCCAAGGTCTTTAGCCCCAGATCATGCTATCTTTTCTGTGGCATCATGCTGCTTTGAGCATTTGCTTCCTCGATACCTCACAACTCCCAGGACCATCTGGCAGTTAATGAGGTATCTGGGAACTTTAACCCACCCTTGCCTGACCGCCCTGGGCTCTGGCTACAGAGCACCCATCTCACGCTGGCTTTGCTGCTGCTCTGCTCCCAGGCGTGGTCATGTGTCCCCAGCTACCTTGAGCATGCCTTCCTTTAGGGAGGGTGAGCCAAGCTGTCAGGTAAAGCTCACAGGTTTCCATGGAGTAACAGGATACCAGTTTATTTCTCATTGCTTTGAAACCCTAAGTGGACGTTCCTGATCGCCACTAAAGGCAGGCTCCAATTCACAAAATCAGTCAGAGGCCGAGGCCAGTAGAGAATCTAGCACTTTCCACCATGTTCCCAAGACTGCCCTCAGCACACACTGCCTGCCCACCCACCCCAGCGGATAGGAAGGAGGAGAGCAGAGAACGCTTATGCATGGCACATGATTTTCTCTGGATGCCACAACACGTACCACAGGCTGGGAGGCTGAAGTAAAAGAGATTTATGTTCTGGAAGTTTTGGAGTCTGGAAATCCGAATCAAGATGAGGGCAGTGTTGGCTTCTCTTGAGGCCTCTCTCCCCAGCTTGTGTATCACCGTCTTCTCCCTGTGTTCTTACATAGTTGTGCATGTGTGTGTGTCCTAATCTCTATTTATAAGAACACCAGTAATACTGGATTAGGTCCCACCTTGACGACCTCACTTAACTTTAATTATCTCTTTAAAGGCCCTGTTTCCACATACAGTGACACTCTGAGATGCTGGGGGCTGAGATGCTGAGATTTGAGGGGTACACACTGCAGTTCATAGCAGAGTCTAAATCACATTAGACCAAAAAGTGGTTACCCCGTTGCCAAAGCCAGTCGTACAGGCCACCTAGATGCAAGGGCAGCTGGGAAGCACCCCACGGCCAGCAGCAGTTTCCGGCAATCTGTCTCCACCAGGACAGCTGGCCAGCTGCCACAGTGGGAGTGCTGTCTCCCCACTGTCCCAACTACCACGTGGCGCTTGTCCAGGGCAAGGAATTTAAAACACCAGAGTATTCCCACCGAATGCCTAAAATACATCCGCTCACTGCACGCATTTCCTAACTTATGTCATGCAATGAAGACCAGACAAGTTTCCAGTTTTTCCATTGCATGCTCAATGCTTGGAAAACATTTTATGCGGTGAATTAGCACTTATTGTCCTGGATGTCATCATCAAAAAGAGGAGTAAGTGGTGTTGCTGAGAGAAATTTAGGAGAATTGGAGAAGATGAAAAAGATCATCCATTAATCCCACAGAGCAACTAACAAGGGTAAGAATGTTCCTAATGCTGCCATAATCCCAATCCCCATAAAAATGTCATCTGTCCCAGAACACTGGCTTTTCCAGTGTCCAGGAAATGCTAGCTGGTATCAGGATCAGCTATGATCTCCGGGACGCTCAGGTGGGCATAAGCTTCTCTCTAGCTCCAGGCTAATAAAGACCAGTCTTCATGAGCCCTGAGGGCAAGTTGGGAGGGCTGGAGCCAAGGGACTATTTGTTTGCCTTGAAACTTTGTTTATTTCTCATTTCTTTCAGTTCTGTGGCCCTCACCAGCACACAAGAGCTGTAATACAGAAAGGACTCGGCTCTCAGTCAAACAAAATGATCAAAGCTTAGCAAGGATGCTCCCTGATTCACCTCTAGAGATTCCTCTACCTCAAACAGTAAGGCCTCATATCATTGCTTTTTTCTGGGCAAGTTGGTGAGATAGTGAGCAGAACAGCTTCACATACCTCAAGGGCCTCCTGACCCATTCAGGAGACAAGTGTCTGTGAAAACACAACTGTAGCATACTTCTTAAAACCCGTGCGTGTTAACACTTTCTCCTTGCTTAAAGAGAGACAGAACCAAGTGTCTGTACACATAGAAATAGCGTTCATTTTGATGGAAATCAATTTAGTGTATACACGTCCATTTAATGTATCTCCTATCAATCTGAAGAGACAATCCTCCTTAACTAAACTCTTTTGTGGATGGATGAATGGATAGATAGGTGGATAGGGGAGAGAGGGAAGGACGGATGGATGATGGATGGATGGTTAGTGGGTGGGTGGATACACAGATTCCATACATGGTGTTATATCACAAATATCAAGGTTTGGTGTTGTCACAAGCTCTTCCCCTTGCCTGCTTTTCTACATGTCTCTTCTGTACGGCACCTCCTGCCTGTCTCCCTCATGGGTGACAACCTGGCATGGTCCCTCAGCCTCTCACCACGCATAGCCATCTGTGTCCATACGCTGTCTTACATAGACACTTTTCATTGTTTGACTTATGAATAGAGGGTCATAGTCTTTACTCTTCTGCGCCTACTTTTTTCACTCACACACTCCCCATGGAAATTCCACTGAGAGCGATTGTCATTCCTTCTTCCTAGCGGCTACATTTAACCCTGTGGAGTGCGCATAACACAGTTCATTCACCCCTTCCTCTGCCAATAGGCATCCACTTTGCAAAGCACTACGGTTTCCTTAAGAAGTTAATTATTGGAAGTTTTACAGTACATACAAATACATATTCATTGTGAAAAGTCAGATGGAGATTTCACCTGGCTAGATGATCATTTCTCCCATTGCAGGGTTTAGCATTTCTATCCAAGGAGCCCCTCGTGTGGAGCTGCAGTTCTATGAAGAAGCCAGATCTATCCTGAGGAGGCTGCAGACTGACCTTGGCCAACTGGAACATGGTGATGGTGGAGGTAGAAAGCTATGGGGCAAGAGCCAAAGTGTGCCTTCAGCTGCCTTAGTCCCTTTTGTAGCCTTTCCTTTCAACCTCTACATCCTGCCCAACATGCTCACCACTACAGGTAAAACTCTCAGAATGCATCACCAAGCCTATCAGACATCCACCCTCCACCACCTCTAAAGCTAAGGATGCCGTGAGATAACATCTGACATCTCCTGAGGACGTTTCTGAAAATGGTAGCCTGGCCACCTATTGGTCCCACCAGTGTACTTAGTACTACATACTAAATGCATTAGTATGTAGCTTTCTTTTATTGTGTGACTCTAGAGTTGATGTAACCTCTTCCACAGAAGAGCACATTATTCAGGTAACCTGAACCCATGTTCCTCAGGCTGCGGTCATTCATGTTTGACTCAGAATAAACTATCTCATGTTTCCTTTGGAGCAAGAGCTGTGTGCTGTGTTGACACTCCGATACTGCAAATGTTATTCCCTCTTATCTCAGTCCCCTGCGTGTCCCCTTGGGCTACCCCATGCCAGCCAGCCCTCCCGTCCTTCCTTGCTCTCTCTATTCAGCGTCTTCCTGCTTGCCAAGCTCTGTTTCCTCCTTTTCCCCTCTCCCAAAGGTGTGCGTTACTGGATTCTAACAAAATTATTGGGTTCCAAAGCATATTTGGAGCAGTAATTCTGAAAAGCAATTGTGGGACCTGGGAAAGTTTGTGGTTTTCACAAATCAAACCCTTGAGGAAAGTTAGAGCCCTTCATCAGAGTTTTGAGTGGAGGGGGGGGGGACAAAAACTATGGTGGGAGGAGGATGAAACTGCTCTTTTTGTGAGTGACCCCCCAAAGACTACCCGTGAAAAACCCAAGAAACTCAATGAAAGCCCTGCTCCTTGGTTCCTCAGGCTCCTGCTTCCTGGAAATGGGAACCAGCTCCATGCTCCCTGAGGCAGGGCTCACAGTCTGGCTCGCAGCCTCTCTGCTCATCTGTAGTGGGTTTCCTCTGGAATTCATCACCTGGAAGTCACCAGGTGCATTCACAGAGTTTTCTCTACCTGATTCTATTCCCGGAATGATTATCACCTTATTATGCAGCTCCACACTCATCTCCTCCCAGTCTTCCTTAAACGCGTCTGGTGATGTCATCTTCCCCCTAATTCCATTAAACCAGCAAATCTCTGCCTCCTGCATCGTCACTGGTTCCCGCGAACTGAGTGAAATTCTAGTTGACACCAACTGACCCTGTCTCATCTTCAACACTGACTTTTTCCCCTGAGTCCAAATGACCCAAATGAGCATCAGGCTGAAACCAGGGAGGTAAACCGAAGCTGTGGAACATTTGCAGAGAGTGATGGCCTCATCTGGTTCTCATGGAGGGGACGGGGTAGGGACTGGGTGACATTATTCTCATGTACAATGGCCCTCATGGGAAAACAAACTTTAAAAAATTTGAAAAACAGCAAAAGAAGGCATGCAGTGTATTCAGGGAGACAATGGAATAAAAAGATGGTAAGCAGGACAATTTCCTTCTTGATGACGTCACAATCAAGCCTTCAGTGATCCAATCAGAGTCCCCACCCCCACCCCCCAGGTCACAGCAGCACTCTGGTGCACAGGTGCTGAAGTCCAGATCTTTCAGGACCCTCTTAGAATTCTGCCCAGGACAAAGAGCACCGGGCAGGCTCCGGACATGCTGATCCAATGTACTGATAAAGGCCAGCAACACACTGGCCTCTTGTAAATCTTCCCTGTGCTAGACAACCCCCAGGCACCAACTTCTGCTCCTTGTTGCTGGCCCATAGCACAACCCTGGGAGGCAGATGCCAGCCCTTGTCCCATTTTGCAAAGGAGGAAATTGGGACTGAGAAGGTTTAAAGACTTCAAGGTCATGCCACCATGGGAATGCAGGGTTCAAGCTTCAGATTCACCCCCACCCCCACCCCCACCCCCCACAGTGCAGAACTGCTTGACTGTAGAAGGCAGTCCCTGCAGGCTAACTGAGGCAATTGTACAACAATAGCTCTCCTGAGAACACAGCTGTTCCCTGTGGATAACTCCGCAGGTCCTCTGAGCTCCACCCCAGCCTCAGCGTTGGCTGCCTCTCCTATTTGCCCCTTCACCCTCTCAGCACAGTTCTCTTTCCCAACATGGGTCACAGCAGCGGCCGTGACAGGTCTCCCTGGCCTCTAGAGCCTTCTCACACCCAGCTGGGCAAGGGGTCTTCCTGAGCACCACGTGTCCCGTGTCCCCTCTGTCCTCCCATACAAGGAGATGTCTCTACTTCTTGTTGACTCCTTGGGGCCATGTTAGCTTAGCGACCAACTATTCTTCCAGAATCTGAGGACAGTAGTTGTTAGTGGGGCAGAAAATCCAAAGGGAGCCAAGTCCCTGTGAGGGCACTGAGGGGTGTATTAGGCACCTGCAGAAGCCCAGTGTCCATGTGAATCCAGACCTGGGACACTGCACACACCTCCCTCTGGGAATGAAGGTCATACTGCTCACTGAGGAGCCCTGCCCAGCCTCAACACCATAAGACACCTCTGGCCCCCAGAATGAAGACTTCTCCATACTTGATAATGCAAAGCCAAAGTCTTCTTACCAGGAGTGAGGACACAAAAATGAGAAGTTGTTGTTGAACAAATGTAGAGTTCCAGGTGGGCAGGATGAAAAACTCCTGACCATGGATAAGAGTGATGTAAGCACATGTATTTACTGTTACCAAGACACTGTACACTTCAGATAGGTAAAATAGTAAATTTGATGTTGTGTGTGTTTTACCACAATCATTAATGAACAAACCCTCAAAGTGTCTGCCACCTGGCTCCGCTATCACTGACCCTTCTCATCCTGTGCCATCTCTCACAGTCACAGTGCCCCCACCACTCTTCCTGCTTCACTGGCCCTCTCTGTCCCTCACCCACCCTGTGTGTTAACCAGCTTCTCGTTACTGCGACAAAGTATCTGAGGTGGTCACCTATCAGAAGGGAAGGTTTACTCTGGCTCACAGGATTTTCATTTGATGGTGTTTGCACACTGTTCTGCAGCCTGTGGCAGTTTAGCTCATCACAGAGGGAGCACATGGCAGGAAAAGCTGCTCCCCTCGCGGTGGCCAGGAAGTAAAAGGAAAGAGAAGTAGGAAGGGGCTGGGATCCCAACATGTCCTTCAAGGCCATGCCCCCAGGGACCTAACTTCCTTCCCTGAGCTCCCACCTCTTAAAAGTGCGGCCACTTCCAGTAGTGCCAACCTGAGGCCCGAGCCTTGAACTCATGGACCTTCTGGGGATGCTCCAGATCCACACTGCAGCACCCTGTGTCCTCCAGAAATTTCCTCCTGAAAGTCAGACATTTTCCACTCCAACAACAAAGTACCCCAGGTGTTCTCTCAGGCCCCATCGGAGACACTTACACCTGGACGCTCTCCTAAACTGTCCCAGCTGGAAAAGTAACTTTTCTCATTAGAGTACCAGAGCTTGGGCACAGAACATCCTCCGTACCATTGCACACCTGCGTGCTGAGGAATCAACCCACCAGTGCCAGCTCAGGCAAGGCTGTGGGCTCTCTCCTCAAAAGCTATCTTAGAAATCATTGTAGTAAAATATACATAAGATAAATTTAGCACCTTAAACAGTGAAGGATCTTAGTTCAAGAGCATAATGGAACCTGGCAGATTCATGGTGCTGGAGCTTTCACTCCACATGGAAACTGCCACTAAACACTCACTCACGTCCCCTACCCTGGAAAGTTCCATTCTTCTGCCTCTGTGGTCTGACCACTCCAGGCAGCTCAAATGAGTAGAACCCTACAGAACTGGCCCTACAGGCTGGCTTATCTCACTTGGCAGCATGCCAAGGTTCATGCACGTTGCGGGGCACACCAGCATCTCCTCCCTGCTGAAAGCTGAATAACGCTCTGCTGCTTACAAAGAGCACATCCTGCCTATTCCTCCCACTTTCTGAATAGTGTCACTATGCTCCTGGACACGTTGGTGTAGGTATATAGAATGCTAGCTCATTCTTTGATTCACTTTTTGGTATTAAGAAGCTTCCAATAACCCTTGGAGAAAGAATCAGCATTCACAAAACCACACAAGACTAAAGGTCAAGCCAGTAGTGCTGGTGCACGCCTGCCATCCCAGCATGTGGGAGGCTGAGGCAGGAAGATTGGAAATTTGAGCCCATTTTAGCAAGTTAGCAAGACACTATCTCAAAACAAAAACAATTAAAATAGTTGGGATTGTAGCTTAGGGGGAAGGCCCTGGGTTCAATCCCCAATACTGGAAAAAAAAATTTTAGTTTGCTTTTTAAGTAAAAAAGACTAAAGAGCAAAAGGAACTTTCTAGTTCCTTTTAGAAACTAGAATAGCCAGTACCTGGTAAGTATGCAAACCCTGGCTCTATCACCAAGGAGGACCTAGAGCACAACCCTGAAGCCTCACTAAATCTGTGTTTAAAAAGGGCCCCACCTCTTTTCTATTCTAAGATGTACATTGTCCTCACATTTTAGCAACTCTGAAATCAGTGAGTTGTACTTGATGGTGTGCTGTATTTTAATTGGAATATTTATTTTTCCTTAATGGGACATAGAACAATAGTTCATTCTTCTTATAACTGAGGGAGCCTTAGGCTCCAAACACAGCACCAGGTCAGGGAAGACAGCAGAACAGGCACTCCAAATTTTCCTTGGTTAGGCTGTGTGGTTATGACTCTGTAAATACCATGAAGGTCAAAAGAGACCAGAAGGGCCCCAACTGCCATGGAAGATTTCTAGGAAAAACAGACTCAAAGATCAAGAAAAGGACGCGTAGAACACAAGTAAGCCAGGAATACCGGGGAGGCCTTCGAATCCCAGAGGAGGGCACAGCAGATTAAAGGTGAGGAGCCGGGGTTGATGAAACCCTGGCTGAGGGCAGGCGAGAGACAGCAATGTTTTCAGGTGCATCAGCCTCATTAAACCTCTTCAAAAACTCAGTAGTAAATAAAGAAGCAACTCAATCCGAAAACAATGAGGACTTTTTCCAGGCTTTTAAGACTTTCATTGGAAAAGTTAAATTATTACTTTTTTAAAACAAGGAAGTAGTCAAATCCATTTTTGAATTTTCTCAGATAATAGCAAAGCAGGATAAAAAACAGCTTCCTACTTTATACAACTTCTAATTACCTTTTTCTACCCATTTATCTATTTCTGTTCAGCAGCAAAGAAAATAATATCCTTTTTTTTTTGGCCTTGCTTGGATTTTCTGAGGTGAGTTTCATTTACCTGAATGGAAAGCAAGCTCAGGAGAGGGCTTTTGTACTAGCACATGGGCTGGGCGTACACCTAATAACTAGGAAACCCTGCCTTTCTGGGCTTCTTTCGCAGTCCACTGGTTACACAATGACCTGAAGTGAGACAGTATTCTAAGTGGCAGACTGAAGCATAACAGAATCATATAGACTGCA